AGGCGCCGAGCCTTGTTTGACATTCTTAAAGCTCTGAATTGGTACTCAAGTTCCGGAAGTTGTGATAGACATATTAGCAGTAATAATAATAATAAAACAGGTGCCATTTATTGAGCAATTATTATGTGTTAAGTGTATATATACAGGAACTAATTTAGTTTTTATGGTGGAGTGATATCCGTGTTGTAACGGATTAAGAAAGTGAGACTCAGAGGCAGCTTGTATCAATTCTTGGCACAGTACCTCTGCACCTAGCACATACGTGGCACACAGACATTTGATATATGAACATGTGAATGCATGACTTTGCTGACGGTCACTCAGCTACCAAGTGTTAAGGCTGGCACTCTTTTCTAAGGCCAGAACTCAGCCCCACAGCCTGAGTTCTTAACCTCTACAACTGTTTCAGGCCTTCCAGGTGGCTGAGCTGCGTGCCCGTCCTTCCTGGCTGTGGCCCGGTGACCACGTGCAGTCCTGGCAGGCTCAGCAGCCTCTGTTGTTGAGATGCTAGCTTATCTCTCACGCATGTGTTCTTTCCTAGTGGCCTTGTTCCCAGGGTACCAGATGACCTGGATGGCATCAACCTCAGTGCTGGCTTGGGAAGTAGTGGTGAGTACACAGAGCCCCTCGTTCTCTTGAGTCAGAACAAGAGAAGTAGAACTAGATGGGGAGCTCCATAAGGGTTGGCCCGCCCGGAGCCTGCCCTGGCCTCACACAGTAGGTGCTCAGTAATTTTTTGTCTACATTGATTTGCTCTTCTCCTTTCATAGGAAATGATGTCCTTCAGCCATACTTCATGAGTTTTATTTCTTGCTACCAGGCCTATAGGGATTCAGATAGTGTTTGCTGAACTGAGCGACACTGTGGAGGCTGGGCATTGAGTTGGTGACTAGACCAGGCTCAGGGGTTCTGTTGGTCTCCACTGCCGAGCAGCTGGAGACCCAGGAGAGCTGCCATCTGGGCATTAGTGTACTGAGGCCTTCCTGGCAGGCTGCTGGATTCCTTTTGCCAGCTGAAGCCCAGCATTCCAGCATGGGCCTGCCCTTTGGAGACAAATAGCTGGTAGACCACAGAGACAGTGCTGAATGAATAAGCAGTGTGTTGTGTTTAAGCTGGACACGAGGAGGCTTTGCAGCTTGGGTCTTGCTAAGCATTCTTTGTAATTTACATTTCTGAGAAAAATGAATGCTGTCTTACGTGTCTCTGTGGGTAGCGCTAATAATTTGCCTTGTTGAAATATCTTAGAGATATTTTGACTTGTTTTTTTTTTCCTTCTCCAAAGTGATGAGATATGTGCAAAAAGAAATCATTTTTGTAGCAGACAAAATAGGTAATCTCTATTTCTAACTCCCAATAGGTATCCTCTATTTCTGGAGGCCATTCCCAGGTTTTCCTTAGGAATCCATTAACTTTTAAACAAAAAAATTCCAGAAACCCAACAAGCCTGATCTCTGTTCTTCCTGCTTATAGGCAATTGCAAGAGAAAATTGATAGGCCGGCTCCTTAATTCAACCAGACTCTGGGCTAGACCCTGGGATTCAATTTTGAACACATTACTATAAAAATGAGAGGGCAGTTAAACACAAAATTCTGAAAAAATCATATATATAATCAGTGTCAGGAGTGAAAAAGTATAAATAAGGTTCTGTGAGAGGGGACTGTTTACCCTGGTACAGGGGAAGTGGGCCAGGCAAGAGTTTCCCAAGAAACTGAGACTTGAAGAGCCAGTGGCACCTTGTTAGGGAAAAGGGAGGACGAGCTTTCCAGACGCAGATCACAGGCACAGCCTGTTGGAGAGCCAGGAAAACAAGCCCGTATGTCCTCAGTTTGGTGCACAGGGCTCTGCACAGTCTGCCCCACCCGCTCTGGTGGCCTCTTTTCTGCTGAGTTCTTTCTGACTGTTCGGCTCACTCCCACCTCGGGCCTCTGCCTGGGCTTTTTAGCTTTTGTCTCTCATTTGCTGTGCCTGCCTCAGCTCCGAGCTCGCTTGCTGTTTTTGGCTCCCACTGGGCTGATTTACGTGCGCTTTCCTCTCTAAATGTTACATATTTCACTTCATTTCATCCCATTCATTTATTCCTTTTGGCTACTTTAAACTATTTAGAATCAGACTAGTTTTCACCTACTTAAACTCCCATCATTCTGGCCCAGACCACTGTGATCTCTGGCCTGGATTATCTCAGTATTCCCCAACCTGTTCTTCTTTCTCTCCTAAGCCCCGTGAACTGTTCTCAGCAAGGCAGCCAGAGAGAGCCTTTAGAAACCCAAGTCTAATCATGTTACTACTCTACAGTTCAGACTCTTCCAGCAGCTCCTCAGAGTCCTTATTGGTTTTTGTGACAGTGTCTCTGTCACCCTGGGTAGAGTGCTGTGGCATCATAGTTCACAGCAGCCTTAAACTCTTGGACTCAAGGGGTTCTCTTGCCTCAGCTTTCCAAGTAGCTGAGACAACAGGCGCCCATCACAACACCTGGCTAGATTTTCTATTTTCAGTAGAGACAGGGTCTTGCTCTTGCTCAGGCTGGTCTGAAACTCCTGAGTTCAAGCAGTCCTCCTGCTTTGGCCTCCCAGAGTGCTAGGATTACAGGTGTGAACCACCACACCCAGTCAATTGTTGAGACCTTAGATGAGCTGACAAGATCATACATGGTTTGTCCCCCAACACCTTTCTTTCTTCCTCTCCTACTGTCCCTTTTGTCTATTGATGTCCTGCCCACTGGCCTGTTGACTATTGTACAGATCCACTAGGCATGATCCTATCTCAGGCTTCTTGGAGTGTTCTTCCTCCAGGTAACTGGCTCCTTCTCTTCTAGTCTGCCCAGATGTCACCTTCTCCGTGAGACCTGCCTTAAAATTGCAATCCTCTCCCCAGCCCTAGTATTCCCTATTTTTATCTACTTTATTTTCCCTGTACCGTTTATCATCTTTTAACATAGTATGCAATCGCCCTGTTACTTTGTTTATTGTCTGTCTCCTCCCTTTAGAATATTGGCTCCATCTTTTTTCTTTTCTTTTCTTCTTCTTCTTTTTTTTTTTTTGAGATGGGGGCTTGCTAGAGTGCAGTGGTATGATCATAGTTCACTGCAGCCTTGGGCTACCGGGCTCATGTGATCCTCCTATTGCAGCCTCCCGAGTAATTGGAACTACAGGGATATACCACCACAGCCAGCTAATTCTTTTTTTTTTTTTTTGAGACAACAGAGCCTCAAGCTGTCCCCCTGGGCAGAGTGCCGTGGCATTACAGCTCACAGCAACCTCCAACTCCTGGGCTCAAGCGAGTCTCCTGCCTCCGCCTCCCAAGTAGCTGGGACCACAGGCGCCCGCCACAACACCTGGCTATTTTTTGGTTGCAGCCATCATTGTTGTTTGGTGGGTCCAGGCTGGGGATTCGAACCCACCACCTTAGGTGTACGTGGCTGGCGCCTTAGCCGGTTGAGCTATAGGCGCCGAGCCAGCCAGCTAATTCTTAAAAAAATTAAAAAAAATTTTGATTGGGTCTCACACTGTGTTGCTCATGTTGGTCTTGAACTCCTGGGCTGAAACATGCTCCTGCCTTGGCCCCTAAAGTGCTGGGATTACAAATGTGAGCCACCATGCCTGGCCCATTGGTTTGTTCCCTGATACAGCCACATCTTGAAAAGAGCCTAGCAGAAGGTAGGTGCTTAGTACATACTTGCTAGAAGAATGAATCCATTCATTTCACTCAACACACAAATATTCAGCACCTACAAATTGCCAAGGGCTTTGCATAGCATATGACAGTTTGTTTATCTCTCTGTCTTGCCCACTTGATCGGGACCCTCTGGTGTGTAGGATCAGTGTCTCCTTCACGGTTGGGTCCCCAGCACATAAGGATGGTGCTTGGCACTGAGTAAGTATGGAGGAAACGTCTGTTGAATGAAAGAAGCTGTGGAGAAATTTGGGTATTGGCAAAGTCTTTACTCACTGCAAAGCAGAGGTCAGCAGTTTCCGGCCCATTGCCTGCCTTTGGAAATGAACTGTTATTAGAACACAGCCCCTTTATTTGTTTATGAATTGTCTATAGCTGTTTTTGTGTTATGACAGGATTTGAGTAGTTGTGACAGATTTTGGGCTTTGTGTATCATCTACAAAGCCTGAAATATTTGTTGTCTGGCGTTTTCAGAAAAAGTTTGCCAGTTTCTGCTGTCAAGTCAGTTAGACATGCTTTGTTTTAATTATTGACATGTGAAGATGATAGCCTGTTCAACAAAATCATTTTATGAAATAAGGAAGCACATATCAGGACATTTTGCTCTGCCAAATGCCTGATGCGTTTTCTGGGTCATTTTTTGACACACGTAGTGTGTGTTGGGTTACTTTAAGTAATCTGTAAATATTTGAAATATAATGGTTTAGAGCAATAGTCCCTAACCTTATGACACCAGGGACCGGTTTCATGGAAGACAACAATTTCTCCATGGTCTGGGGGTTGGGGGATGGTTTCAGGATGATTCAAGCCTATTACATTTATTGTGCACTTTATTTTTACCACTGTTGCTTTGTAATACATAATGAAATAATTATACAACTCAGCACGATGCAGAATCAGTGGTGGGGAGCCGCTGGAAATACAGGTGAAGCTTCACTCACTTGCTCGCTACTCACCTGCTGTGCGGCCCGGTTCCTAACAGGCCATGGACCTGTGCCAGTCTGCCGCCTGGGGTTGGGGACTGCAGGTTTAGAGCTTTCCCTGGGCTGAAGTCAGCAAGTCACAGCAGACAGCGAGTGCCATAGGATATACTTTGGAGACTGTTGATGTTTTCTTGTCTCTGGGCTCTGTTGCCTACGGGAATGCTGGTTGGTTTGCATGCTATGATGTTTCCTATGTTTTGCCTTTTTACAGTCCTCCCAAATGTGTCAGAAGAAATGGTGTCTCCCACAAGAGCACGGAACATGAAGGACTTTGAAAATGTAAGTGAAGATACCAAATCACTGGCCCTAACAACCCAGGTCTGCTGCTGCCATCCAGCCAGACCCAGACAGAGGTGTTTCCTGAGAACTGTCTGAGCTGAGTAATGCCAGCGGCAGGAGGAATGCCATGTCCTGTAGGCATTCTCTGTGGACTGTAGCATACACACGAGTCAGCCTTTTATGCAAGGGCCAGCTATGGATTCTGCAATAGCTGAGAATTCTGAAAAGAACTCAGGATCGGCAATTCTTCACTTTGGGGAGTGTGGTGTATTTCTGGTGTCCTGAAGGTCAGAATGTCTTCATGTTCCATAGCTGAGGAGAGCTAACATTTATCAAAGGCTTTGCTATTAATGTAAGGCATGTTATTTATGGGCCCTATTTCATCTTTGCTACAGTTCTTGAGGTGTTTTGTATTATCCCCATTTTACAGACAAGGAATCTTGTCCTGTAATATGTAAGCGTCAGAGGTGGGATTTGAATCCAGGTTTTGAATGATTCCAAGGCCCTTCTTCTTCCCACTGTCTTTCATGGACTTTATCTTTGTTGCTGTTGAATGAACTGTGAATAGCCTGTGCCCAGTACTGTAGAGTAGTTGTCTGAGAATGGATTACGTGGTGATAAATTTGGCTTGGATGTTTCATGTCTTGCAGCATTGTCTTTCATGTGTTAGCGAAGGGGGTTTGTTGTCAAGTAACAGGAAAATAAGGTTACTCTCCCAGTTCCAATTCTCTTTAACAAGTTACCTGTTCAGCACACTCATTTATCATGGGAAGAATTAGAGCCTTCTTCATTTGTAGGCAAATGAAATCCACACTATGCAAGATGCAGGAGATATTTATCAGAAGATGGGGGACGCAGAGAGAAGGACGTTCCACAATTATGTTTCTGTCTCCCCAGTTGTCTTTACAGAACAGAGCAGGCCTGTCTCTGGATTTAATTTAGAATGCTCATTACTGCTAATAGTTATCTGGAAACCACCAGTGACCAATTGTAGAAATGACTTGTCAGATCTCTAATGGAAACAAGTAATTTCTGAGCTTTGAGTTGTTATAATTTCAGCTGTACAACTTGATCTATGCTGTGGGGTCTGGGGCCTCAAACGAATGAGATTTGATTATTCTACATCGTGTATAATTAAAATATGCCCTACTATTAAATGGTTGTTCCCATTTTATCATAAGAGTAATAATCGCTACTGTTTATTGAGCTCTGGCTCTGAGCTGGGCACTTTAAAAAGCTCTTTGCATGTGTTACTTTAATATTAAAGCGGTTTTACAAGATAGAGAGTTATTATTTCATTTTTGAAGGGCACAGTTTTAAATTTTATTTCTAGATGAGAATATTTCACAGAACTTAGGATTTTTGGTTTCACATTGTCTGCCTATAGAACTGGAAGGAGTCCCAGAATTGAATCCAACTTTTTTTATTATATGTGGGAGAAACTGAGGCCCAGGAAATGTGATACGGCAAAGGTCCTCTTGGAGGCAGTCTAAGGACTCTGGGTTCTGTGTGTCCACTTCTGTGGCTGACGCTGGGCCAGTCACTTAGCCTTTCTTTATTTTTCTTTTCCTTAAAATGGCCATGATAGTAGCACCTACTGCTTAGGGCTGTTAGGAGGAGGTAATGATGGCTGTATGTGAAGCCCATGCCTAGCCCAACACGTTCTATGTGGAGCTGTTGCTCCTTCTTACTGTTATTGGTGTGCTTGTTATTTTTCCTACTCTGCCATGTGGTTCAAGTATCTCTTGCTCAGATATTTTCCTGACGCCCGAAATCCTGTTTTTCTTGAAGGTGAAGGAGAGCTTTCTATGCCAGTGTGTTCTAGGATTTATGGTTTTTCTTTAAGACTGTGGTCCTGGCTCAGTGCCTATAGCTCAACTGGCTAAGGCGCCAGCCACGTACACCTAAGGTGGCGGGTTCGAATCCCCAGCCCGGGCCCGCCAAAACAACAATGATGGCTGCAACCAAAAAAAAAATGGCCGGGCGTTGTGGCGGGCGCCTGTGGTCCCAGCTACTTGGGGGGCGGAGGCGGGAGACTCGCTTGAGCCCAGGAGTTGGAGGTTGCTGTGAGCTGTAATGCCACGGCACTCTACCCAGGGGGGCAGCTTGAGGCTCTGTCTCAAAAAAAAAAAAAAAAAGACTGTGGTCCTTTGGCTGCTGTTATGTTTTTATGGCATTAATATTTTTTATTGTAGCATTTTCAGGAGCAAATTCTGCAGCTGAAATTGAAATGGCCACACTGTTCTCAGTGTCTCCCTTTTAGGTCTTTATAGGTCACTGGAATTTTTCATTTGGCCTGAGCTACTAAATGCATGATCTCTGTGAGGTGGTAGTATGAACTTTCTGTGAATGTTAACAGGACATGCCCTTGGCATCTGAAGCTAATTTTAGGATAAGCATGTATATTAAGGAGGTGTCTTGATTTAAAGGGGAAATTCATAATTTCTCTTATTCCAGTCTCAGATGACATCTAGTCATGAACATGTGTGTTTAGCCGGGGACTGGCAAGACCTAGGTCCATTTCTGGTTTTGCTCAGAGTTCATCTCTTCAATAAACATTTTCAAATACATGCCCCTGTGCCAGGCTTTTTGCCAGGGTCTAAGAAATCTCAGTGGGTTAAGACAAGGTAAGTCTCCCTGTCAAGAGGCTCTGAGTTTAGTTGGGAAGCTGGGTAGGAAGACAGTGCAGTGATAGAGGTAAGTTCAGGGTGCCACAGGGCCACAGAGGAGGGACTCTGAACTGGCAGTGGATTCAGGGAAGCCCCCTGGAGGGAGGTGTTGCCTGAGTTAGGTCATCAGGGGCAAATAGGGATTGGCCAAGTGGAGGAGCTAGGAGAGAATCCCAGATGCTAGGACTTGCATGTGCTAATATAGAGAGAGGCAAGGCAGGGCATTGTGAATTGGTCGGCTGGAAGGGGGGCTGGAAGGGAGCGGTGTGACAAAGCTTGGAGAAGTGAGGCCATTGAAGCAGACAGGCGTCAGATCCTGCAAGTGTTGAATGTTACGCTGCTTTGTTTTATTTTTGTCCCCAGATGAAAGGAGACCAATGATGGTTTTAATGTGGGGAGAGAAATGACTGGAATTGTGCTTTCAAAAGATTATCCAGGCTGGTAACTGCCAGGAGAAGAATTTGGAGGGGGCAAAGTTGGTGGCAAGGGGATAGTTAAAAGCCTCCTGTGGTGTTATGGGCGCAGGGGGAGAAATGCTGGAGCTATGGACATGGAGTAAAGAGACGCTTGGAGTAGAGTCAGAATTTGAGAGCTGGAGGAGCTCTAGGAATCATCTCATCCAGTCCCTTCCCTTGACACGAGGGGACACTGAAGCCCTTAGAGAGGTGGGGACTTCCTCAGGTTTCGAACACAGGTGTGCAGTATTAGAAGTCCTTTCTACTACACTGGACAGTCCTCATGCTCAAATGTAAAAACCATGTGCCTTATTTAAACTAGTAATCCGTTGCTTAGTACCCTCACTAGCTGAGGGCATAATTACTTGCATGGCAGGCTATGGTAGGAAGTTGGTAAGTCAGTTTTGTCTTTCTAGATGCTAATGAATTAGTAGTAGTGTACTTCCCAGACGATGGAACGAGGAGGCCAGGCTAAGGCAGGGTTTCATGAAGGCTAGTGCTTACCTGCTGGGAACCTGTGCTGGACACTATAATCTCTCTCTCCCTTAAAAAAATTTTTTGGGGGTTAGTGATGTGAGGTAAGGGGAAACTTCACCCCTTTACCCTTGAAGGTTCACTGAAAGATTAACTCATAAGCAGGTTAATAAGAGAAAGACATTTCTTTACCCTGCGGATGGGGAGAATCACAGAGTGATTACCTAGTGTCTCAGTGGGGTCTAGAAGTTTATACACCCACATTTTAGAGGGGAGAGGGAAATGAAGAATAGAGATAATTCTGTTTAGGGGCACTAAATGGTTACTAGGGATGATGAATAGGTACTTGGGGGAATGAATGGATGAGAAGAAACAGATTAATTTGTAAGTGATTCTCCTTGGAAATTAAGTTAACCCAAGAGACAGGTATTATCTTTAAAATGGGTTGGCCTTCTTGATTTTTTTCTTTGCCTTCTTGATTTTTTTCCCCTGGAATATATTGAGATAATGGAATGGGAAGGAAAGGCAATTTTTGATGGGTCCCTCTGGTTTTATGCAGATAGAAGAAGGAAAGGCCCTGCCAGCCTGTTGATTTCTAAGGGCCTTTATTTCAAAATACTCTTTATACCAAGGACTTATATTTTGGGGTAAAATTCTGGGAGGTCCTTCAGTGGGGAAGACTCAGAATCTGGGACAGCATATCCAGTCCACGAAGCAACCTTTATCAACATGCAGAAGAGTTTAATTCTGGCTGGGACAGGGAATGACATGGATAGCTTTCTGTCTCCATTAATACAGGTGGATGGTGTTCTTTAATGACTGTTTAATATTTCATAATGAAAAGGGATAGATTGAGCCATGATTCACATTACCTTTTACTATGGGACATTTCAAATTGTTTTTACTTTCTCAGTTTTGCAAAGCAGTGCTTCAGTATCTTTGTGTATGTGTTTTTACAGTTATGTGATTTTGTTTTTCTTAGGGTAAATTCCTAGAAATGATATTTCTGGATGGCAGGGGTTTTAACTATAACTTATGTGCAACAAATGGTAGATATTATGAATTCATAATATCTATCTGATTGATATTTAAGGATTAGGATTAGTAAGTCTAGTGCCTCTCTAAGGAATTGGGAACACTCTTAGCCAGATGTGGCTGAAACAATTGTACCCTGGTCATACCTGGGTCTCTCTTCATCTCCGTCTTTTCCAGCTCTTGTCTAATACTCACTTACCCTGAGGTAGTGGCCTTCTTGTACTGAGGCCTTTATTCCTATTTGTTGAAAATTTGTGGTCTCAGCTGAGGCATTGGTCAAATTTGAGTGTTTTATCTGTGGCTTTGCTAGGTGGTTTGCATCTTTAAATTTGCTTTGTAATATCTAAATTGTGAGTACTTACTGCCA